GACAGAAGGGAGGAATCTAGGCCAAGCCCAGGGCTGGCGTCTTGTGTTCATCAGGCCTGCAGGGGAAGGGTGGGCCACCGGGCGGGGGCAGGACAGCAGAACGCAGAGCAGCTCGGTGGGTGGGTGCTCTCTGGCCTGAAGGTGCTCTCAGAAGCTGTTTGTCCTGACAAATCTATCCTCATCCCACCCCTATGCCCCAGGGCCCATTGCTCTGTCCTACTTCCTCCCTCCTCCCTAGAAGTAAGGACTCAGATGTGTGGCTGGTCCGAAGGTAGTGAGTTGTCTCACTTGATTGTTCACAGTCAGTTACAGATTGAGCTTCTTGTTCTGCTACTTTCCCCCCTTCTCACTACTGCACTTGACTAGTCAAAAAAAAAAAAAAAAAAGAACTCAGACCCAGGCTGTGTAGCTTATTTATAAATTATATATGTATATAGTTTATTCATTATAAATAATATGGCCAGGCGCGGTGGTTCACGCCTGTAATCCTAGCACTCTGGGAGGCTGAGGCGGGAGGATCACTCAAGGTCAGGAGTTCGAAACCAGCCTGAGCAAGAGCGAGACCCTGTCTCTACTAAAAATAGAAAGAAATTAATTGGCCACTAAAATACATAGAAAAAATTAGCCGGCATGGTGGCGCATGCCTGTAGTCCCAGCTACCTGGGAGGCTGAGGCAAGAGGATCGCTTGAGCCCAGGAATTTGAGGTTGCTGTGAGCTAGGCTGATGCCACGGCACTCTGGCCTGGGCAACATAGTGAGACTCTGTCTCAAAATAAAATAAAAATAATATAAGCAATTTATACAAAATTCAAAAACTACAGAAAGATGAAGGGAAGAAAAGAAATCATCTATCTCTAGTACCATCATTTGGAGACGGGGGCAGAGGCACTGGCAGGCCACGTCTGTGAATGTCATTTCTTCTTCAAGGAAATGCTTGAGGTTCCCCCCTGCCACCTGGTGGACTGGCTCAGAGATTTGGGTCAGGAGGCAGAGGGCTGAGTGGGTGTGTGGGTGGGGAGGGGCAGTGCTGCCCATTCTGACTTTATAGCAAGTATATTTTCTTATGCTCTCTCTTCTATGAGCATTTATTGTGATCATTCTGCATGCGGTGTTTTTATTTTTTATTTTAAATTTATTTTTGAGATGGGGCCTCGCTCTGTTGCCCAGGCTAGAGTGCAGTGGCGTCATCATCCTAGCCCACTGCAACCTCTAACTACTGGGCTCAGGCAATCCTCCTGCCTCAGCTTTCTGAGGAGCTGGGACTACAGGTACGCACCACCATGCCCGGCTAATTTCCTTTTTATTTCTTTGTAGAGATGGGATCTAGCTACGTTGTCCAGACAGGTCTTGAGCTCCTGGGTTCAAGCAATCCTCTCACCTTATCCTCCAGCAAAGCGCTGAGATTACAGGCACGAGCCACTGCACCTGACCTGCATACAGTGTTTTTACAAGCATAATTTACACAGTGTTGTTTACAGATTCTAGAAGAAATATATTTTGAAGCAGGGCCGTGACAGGCAATACTTGCCAATGGGTGGTTTATAATTAATCATTCCCTATTAAAAAATAGTGACTCAGTTTTAAAGATTCAGAAAACCATTACTCAAGTTCCTTGGCAGAGGAAGTGGCCATTATGTTGCTCTCTGCAGCTCTGCTTTTGTGGAAGAAAAAAAAAAAGTCTTTTTATTTGGTGTTTCTCTGAGCTGCCCAAGTACTTTGGCCATTGTTAGTGAGCGCTGGAGCTGAACAGCCCCTGCTATTGTTCCGGCTAGCCACTAAGCATGGCAAGAGCTTCCATCTGGACTGGGCTAAGGGAAATGACCAGAGAGACATATTTTCTGGTACTGGCAAAGGCAGAAGCAGAAGAGAGAGCTCCCTCTGGTTCCAGACTCTGAGTTTCTTTCCTTGGCATCTCCTGGTTGTAAAAAAGCTGGTTCCTCCGATCCTGGTGTGGGGTCTGCCCATTGCACAGCATGAAGGTGTCACCTGTGAAGGGTACTCCTGGGAGTTTTCAGTGTGGAGCCCCTGTCCCAGTGGGCACCCTACATTAAACAAACATGTATGAAGCACCTACTGAGTTCTCTGATGAGTAGATAGCAGGAACTTACATTTTTGTCATGGTCGGGACCTGTATATGGTTGAGGACTGGGCCATGTGAATGCGCCCGTGGGCAGATGAGCCGTCCGTGGTCCTTAACCCTTACGTTGGACTTTCATGCAACCCACACTTGTGTCCATTGTGAACTGGTGCTCCTAAACTGCCTTGCGAATACTGATTTCTGCCCATCAGGGGGTGGAGGGGTGTTGTAAGCATTGTATGGGTGGACAATTCTCTTTTGGCGGCGTCTCCATCTTTGTTCCTACAAGTTTGTACTTTGTGCATGAACTTGACATCTATGTTAGGTCTTATTCTTATGGCTGCTTTATCAAGCGCAAAATGGAGAAGTGAAAATATTGATACAGTGACTAGAAGTGTCAGTGCATCTTCTAAACAACCTCATTCAGGCACAGGTGGAAATCAATACGTGGACTGGATGTGGCAAGCTGCTGGCTCCAGCAGGTGCTCATTGGACTGTGTGTCCAGTTATGAAGGAAAGGGACACGTGTCACATATACTCTAAGACCGGCAGTTTCATTCTTAGGGAAGTTCTTGGCAAGTGCACCAAGAGTCACGTACGGGAAAGTTGAAGCTGGGCGTGTGTAATCTCAGCTATTCAGGAGCCGAGGCGGGAGGATCCCTTGAGCCCAGGAGTTTGAGACCAGCCAGGGCAACAGGGCAAGACCCTGTCTCCAAAAAAATAAAACAAAAAACAAAAACAGTTGATAGCCACACTCTTTGATATGGCAAAGCACTGAAAATGACCCCCAAACCTCCTTCAAAAGGAGAATGAGAGAGCTGAACAATAAAATATTACGTAGCAGTGAAAATGAATGAACTGTATCTACATGTAAATAAATCATAGAGACATATGAATGAAAAAAAGCACATTATAGAAGACTATATACAAACCATATATATAAAGCTCAAAAATCAAGAAAAGTTAAGAAAAACTTAGGGATCCATGAGTAGTGGACCTATTTTCTAAAAGTAAGGGAGTGATAAACCCAAAATGTAACACTGTATATAGGTGGGGAAGTTGGAAGTTGGGGAAGCCCAGAATGAGCTGCAGAGACAATGATTGTGCTATTTTTTTCGGTTGGTTGGGGCCCCTGGGTATTTTATGCTTCATAGCTTTTATGTGCATCACATATATTAATTTGCATGTGTTCAGTATTATGTAATACATTGAAAAACAATGTTTAAATTTTAGAAATACATTGTCAAAAGTCATTTGTGGGAGCTGTGCTGTACTTAGGGCTTTCTATAAGGCTTTTAAGCCCTCTGGGCACCGAAGCCCTCCCCTTATTGCCCCCAGTAGACTTCAACTTCTAGGGACTCAGATTTCACTGATGTTCAGGGGAGACCTGTGTGCTGTATCCCAGCCCTGCAGCAGCGAATGCAACTTCCATCCTCAAGGGCAGGGTCTTTCTCATGCCTGACTGTGGCTTCTTCACTGGTGCCTGGCAGCTGAGGCCTCTTCCAGTGTTTGTGGAACACAGGGCAGAGGGAGGGCCTTCCTTGCCCACCATGGGGGAAGTGAGGTCACGGGGCGGGGGGGAGGGGTAGGGAAGGGTAGGGGAGAGGGTGATCTAAGGAACCTGCCCAAACTCACCTGGCTGCACGGTGACACTTCAACCAGCCTTCTCACCTAACGTCCAGGGCTGGTGAAGACAGAAAGCCTTAGATGGCTGACTGCACCCTGGCCTTGCATCTGTCCCTTTTCTGGCAGCCTCGAGGTAGAGACTCCCAGAGTGGGGAGAACTCTGGCTCCAAGTGGTAGAGTTAGAAGGAAGAATGAAGGGCGTCTGTATAGCCAGGCAGGGCCCAGTGACAGGCAGAAGCTGTTTCTGCCCCTTTGATACCTATGCCCCTGGTCTCTGGACTGTGGCCAGTAGCCAGTGCGGACTGCCAGCCTCCCCTGGCTTTGGGAGTGTTATTTGCCTCAGAGTCACTGATCCTTACTTCCTCCTCTCTGACAGCCACCTTGGATGGGGTGGGAAGAAGGACAGTCCACCAAGCATGAGATAAAAACGCCTCCTCCCAAGCAAGAAGACTTTGCAGGCCATGGAGTGCTGCATGTGCTTGTCCTTGTGCTAGTCCTCAGTCCCAGGAGCATGGGCGGGGAGGTGAGGTCAGGCACTCAGGAAGCTGCTGGGCCTTTCCAACATCTTTGGCCAGATTGATCACTGCTGCTTGCTAATTAATAGAGGATTATGCATTTGGTTTGAAGGCTCAAGTGTGCTAAACATGAAAACTGGTTGTGTTCCCTGGCCTCTGTTCCCTCAGCTGGTTGGGCTAATTTACTAGATTGGTTAATAAATGAGTTCAAGGTGGTTGGGCTAATTTTTATCTTACATTTTATCAATCTGTAACCTGTACCTCCCCCAAAATGTTTTTACTTGTTTCTTTGGTCCCTAGAGGACCCCTGTGGTCCCTAGAGCAGGCATCCTTCCCTGAAGACCCTGTGAGTCTGAGCCTCCCTGAGTACTTGTGTACCGTGGGAGTCCCACTTGGGTGCCTGGCATTCATTCCCATGTGCATTCATTCATTCATTCATTCATACAACCATGGAGTGCTCTGTGGGCCCCTGCCACGTGCCAGGCAACGTTCTGCGCACTGGACTGTAGCAGACAACAGGACAGGGGGTCTGTGCTTGTGGTGCTTGGAGTCTTAAGGGGAAGAGAGACACGGAATTGGTGAGCACACTCCACGCAGGCAGCTGGGTGGAGGCGGCCAGGCTGCTGAGAGCACTGGGAAGTTGCTTCCTGAGTCCAGGCAGCAGGGATGGTGGCCCGAGCCGGTTCCTGCCTAGTAGTGAAGATTCTTGTGGCTTCCCCAGCTCAGAATGAAGCCCCTTTTGGGATTGCTGTGGGTTTCCTGAGTGTCTTCCTCCTCTCCAGAGGTGGCAAGTGATGTGCTGACCAGCCTGCCCGGGAACAACGTTACCTTGACCTGCCCAGGAGACAATGCCACTGAGCCAGAAGACAATGCCACTGTTCACTGGGTGCTCAGGAATCCCGGCGTGGGCTCACACCACAGCAGATGGGCTGGCGTGGGAAGGAGGCTACTTCTGAGGTCGGTGCAGCTCAATGATTCTGGAAACTACACGTGCTACCGGGCCGGCCACCCCGCGGGATCTGTGCACTTGCTGGTGGATGGTGAGTTGTGCTCGGAGCTCTGGGACACGCTCCCAGGGCAGCTCCAGTGTGAGGCTGTGCGAATTCCAGAGAGAGTCCCTGCCTGACCCTTTAAAGGCCTGGTATTTCCTTGGCCCAAGAATTTCGGGAAAAGGCCGGCAGATGTCTGCCGGCGGGGAGCTGGCGGAGATTCCTGCTGGGTGGGGCATCTGGCTGAGGCAGAGTGCTGTCTGGCTGGCCTTGTGAGTGACGCTCATGGTGGACTGGTTAACAGCATGGGGCCCGGGGCCAGGCAGCCCGGGCTGGAATCCCGCTCCTTCACATACAGCTTAGCCTCTCTGCTCCTGTGTTTCTTCTTTGGCAAAGTACGGTTGATTTTATTACCTTATCTTAGAGTTGTTGCAAAGAATAAATATGTATGACTGTGTATGTGTGTATCACACACACACACACACACACACACACACACACACGGCTAAAACTCTGCATAGCACATACTGAGCTCTCCAATTAGCTCTTCTTATTTTTATTTTTTATTTATTATTTTTCCTAGACAAAATTTTTATTTTATTTTTATTATTTATTTATTTATTTTTTATTCTAGCATATTATGGGGGTACAAGTGTTAAGGTTACTTATATTGCCCATGCCCCCCTCCCCCCTCTTCTTATTTTGAGCATTAGCAGGTTCTTGGCTCCCTCACATCTAGATAAAAAATGTCATAGAGCTGAGGCCCTGTGTGCCAAGCCTGTGCTAAGGTACTTCCTTGTGTCTCCTGGAGTCAATCCCCCCATTCCTTTGGGGGAGGGGGAATCAGTATTATTATTATCACTGTCATTATCATCTGTAGATGTTACAGATAAGGAAACTGAGGAGCATCTAGGACTTGCCCAAGGCCACACAGCCCTCTTTTTTTTTTTTTTTATCCTCCTCCCTCCTCTTTAGATATGTGGCCTGGGGTGCTTCCCTTCCCTTATCTAGAAGCTGCTTCTCAGCGAACACAGGGCCTTTGGTGACCTTTAACTTCCCAGCTACAACTCGTGTGGCTGAGTTTGGCCACAGCATCCTGGGCCAGGACTGGCTCTAGGGCTGGGCTGTGGGGCCCAGCCCGTGCTCCCCTCAGAAGGGGGCTGTGCTCCAGGCTCCCTGCCCGCCTCCTCACGCCTGCTGTGCTCTCCTTCCAGTTCCTCCCGAGGAGCCCCAGCTCCTCTCCTGCTTGCGGAGGAACCCCATCAACAAAGTTGTTTGTGAGTGGGATCCTGGGAGCCCCCCCTCGCCGACGACCAAGGCCGTGCTGCTGGTGAAGAAGTTGTAAGTGTCTTGGGCTGGACTGTGCATTCACATCAGCTACCCCCCTTGCGGCCCCAGAGGAACCAAGCGGCCAATCGCTGGCCAGCCAGTGATTCCAGAATGTCATCATTAGAAAGTTATTCCTTTGGGAGAAGGAGGAGGGAATGAGGTAGGGAACTGAGACTGTTTTGACTGCCGACATCCCCCACCCCCAACCCCAGCTAGGACACTGTGTCGTGTTGACTTAGCTGTCATGGCAGCTGCGGGGAAGTGGGCGTTATTTTCCTCACTTAACAGATGGAGAAACTGAGGTTCAGGGAGATTGATTTACTTGGTTTAGGTCATCTAGCCAGTAAGTGGCTCTGCTGGGAATCCAATCCCAGCCTGTCTGATTTCATTCAAAGTCCAAAGGGTTTGGGTATTGCTCTGAAAAGGATGCAAATGTCCCTGGGAGTGGGAAGCACAGATAGCCCATTATCAGTGTCTGGAGCCTGTGTGCTTATCAGCCCATCTCCATTACAAAGGGGACAGTCGTGGGAGTCACCACGCCTGCCTGGGGGCCCCTGTGAGGCCTCTGCACACCACCGGAAGCCCGCATAAAGTGTGTGTGTGGGGGGCTGGGATGGATTGAGGCATGGATGTAGAAGAGGTGGAAGATTCTGAAAACAAATGCACCTCTGCAGTTTTGCCTGTCTCCACCCCTGAGCCAAGGTCTCCTTAGTCCAGATGTCTATAATTGAGTTCAAGCTGTCAGTCATCAGAGTACAGCAGTCCCCCCTTATCCAAGGGGGATACGTTCTAAGACCCCCAGTGGATGCTTGGAGCCTCGAATAGTACTGAACCCTATATATATACTGTTTTTTCTCATACATGCATGTCCATGATAAAGTTTAATTTATAAATTAGGCACAGTAAGAGATTAACAGCAATAACCAATACTAAAATAGAAAGATTAGGCCAGGCGTGGTGGCTCACGCCTGTAATCCTAGCACTCTGGGAGGCAGAGATGGGAGGATGGCTCAAGGTCAGGAGTTCGAAACCAGCCTGAGCAAGAGTGAGGCCCTGTCTCTACTAAAAATAGAAAGAAATTAATTGGCCAACTAAAAATATATAGAAAAATTAGCCGGGCATGGTGCACATGCCTGTAGTCCCAGCTACTTGGGAGGCTGAGGCAGGAGGATCGCTGGAGCCCAGGAGTTTGAGGTTGCTGTGAGCTAGGCTGACACCATGGCACTCTAGCCCTGGCAACAGAGTGAGACTCTGTCTCAAAAAAAAAAAAAAAGAGCAATTATAACAATGAATTGTAATGAAAGCTATATGAATGTGGTCTCTCACCCTCTTTCAAAATATCTTATTGAACTGTACTCACCCCTCTTGTGATGATGTGAGATGATAAAATGCCTAGGTGGTGAGATGAAGTGATCTGGGCATTGTGGAGTAGCACTAGGCTACTATTGACCTTCTGACCATACATCAGAAGGAGGAGCACCTATTTTGGGTGACCCTGGATCATGGAGCCCTGGTGACATTGATGTTGATGATGAGTGGGCAGGTGGCGTATGCAGTGTAGGTATGCTGGACAAAGGGCGGATTCATGTCTTAGGCAGAACAGAGCAGGATGCTGTGACATTTCATCATCCTATTCAGAATGGTGTGCAGTTTAAAACTTATGAATTAATTAGTTTGGGAATTTTCCATTTAATATTTTCTTTTTTTTTTTTATTAGAGAACCATTTAATATTTTCAGACCATGGTTGACCATAGGTAACTAAAACCTCAGAAAGTGAAACTAAGGATAAGGCAGGAAAAAAATCCCTCTCTTCAGAGTGGCTAGGTGGCCTGGCAGTAATTCATTCTGTCCCCTGCGCTGAAGCGTGTGGGTTACCCGCCTGTGAATGACGCCGCTGCCTTTCAGACTGCTGTCTCACACTCCAAGTAGGGCAGACCAGGAAAGCCTCACAACCCAACACTGGATATACCTCGTTTGGGACCTACAAGGCCTTTATCCACAGACAGGATTAGACAGGACAGGCACAGTGGTCCGCAGTGTCCCAGCCCAGCCCGTGGAGAGGCTGTTCATTTCTGACACTTCACCAGAATACTTTCATTTGTTGACATTGGGAGTGGGCGGGAACAGGTGTTCTGTGCTGCCAGAGCAACCTCAGCGCTTCCCTCTGCTTTGAAGTCAGCAGGGCGCTGGGAACCTTTGAAATGAGGACAGTAGGGGCAGCCTCAGGGACCCCAGCACATACGGAGGCCCCAGCCTTGCTCACTCATCCGTTCACAGGCCTGTGGTGAGCTCGGAGCCCGCCTTGCGCTGGGCGCTGCGCTGCCATCCAACACCACGGCCGGGGTACCCCGCTTCTCAGTGTTGGGTGCACGGAGGGCTGGGTGCTGTTGGGGCAGGCTTCCCCACAGCAAAGGGTTTGTCCCACGTGCTGGCCTCAGCTTGGGTCCAAGATTCAAACCCGAGTCAGAGGTGTGTGACTTGTCGCCCCCTCGGCAGGGCAGGTGCTGACGTGGTCTCGCATGGCCTCACGTGCCTGCTTGCTCATAAAAGGGTGAAGGCTCTGGGTTCCTGGGCAGGTGGCATGGTGCCTGACTCACCTCGAGTGTCCTGTCATCCAGAAGTCTTTTGTGGACTTGCCTGCCCAGAACCCCGCTAGCACTTTGTGTTTCTGGAATGGCATTTCTACTGGGTCTCCAGTCATCTGAGGGCAGATCTTTATTGTTAGTGCCTTGAGGCTGGAGTGGGGCCTCTCTTGATCTATTTCTGCCTCACAGCACACGGCACAGGCCCTGGCAGGACGCCAGAGCTTGCCCCTAGCTGATGCCTCCGGGACCCGCTGAGCCCTCTCGGCCAGCACCTCTCACCCCTCTGTGCCAGGCGCTAGGCCAGATGTTTTACATATATCTGTAAATCCAGCTGGTTTCCTTGTCTCTAAATTTTACATATATTTTTCAATTAATATTAACAGAGCCCCTGTGAGGTAGGCACTGTTAACATTCCCGTTTTCAAATGAGAAAGCAGACTCAGAGGGTGAATAACTTACTCAAAATCAGAAAAGCTAATACGAGCTAGTAAGTCTGGACCTGGGATTCAAGCCCGGGGTGAGGCATGAGCACCTGACCTTTTTATTCTCTCGAATAAGTGCAGAGACCGATAGGCGAGCCCTGCCCTTGTTTTGTGTCCAACAGTTACTACAGTCCGGTGAAAGAATTCCGGGTACCGTGCCAGTATTCTCAAGAGTCCCAGAAGTTCTCCTGCCAGTTGGTGGTCCCAGAGGGAGACAACTCTTTCCACATAGTGTCCCTGTGCGTCGCCAGCAGTGTTGGGAGCAAGTCCAGCAGCATCCACTCGTTTGAGGGTTATGGCTTCCGTACGTAAGCTTTTCCCCACCCGCCAGCTGTTTCCTTCTCTTTTAATTTGACACTCCTTATCGACTTCTTGGAGGGGCAGGGGAGGGGTGGTTGAGGGGTTTGGGTGTCTGACAGGGATGGACGCCGGCCCCGGCAAGATGTGCATGGGAGCGTCCGGGGCTGGGGCGGGGTCCTGCCTGGATCTCTGGGGTCTGCAGGCCTTCCGGGGCCTGTCCCCTGCACGGTGCTTGCCGCTGCATAGGGGCCGTGCTCGCTTCCCCACAGTGCAGCCCGACCCGCCTGCCAACATCACAGTTCACGCCGTGGCCGGGCGCCCCCGCTGGCTCAAGGTCGCCTGGCGAGACCCCTACTCCTGGAACACAACTTACTACAGGCTACAGTTTGAGCTCCGATACCGGGCGGAACGGTCGAAGACATTCACAACACGCATGGTAAATTCTTCTTTTACTTCTGGACAGAGAAGTGTCCCTAGATACTTGGGGGTGGTAGAAGGGTACTAGAAAGAAAAAAATGGGCTCTAGGTCCTGTAGGGTCTTGGATACGTCTTTCAACCTTTCTGAGCCTTGGTTGTGTCATTTATAAAATGAGAATAACTATGCCAGGCCAGGCTCCTCGTCACAGGCCCATCTGTGAGAAGGAGCGTCCGCCCCGGGCAGACAACTGGGCTTGCGCGAGCCTACGGTGCGTTTGCTGGGTCTGCAGCCCCATCTTGCTCTGCACCTCCAGGGTGGGGCGAGCCTTTGGAGTTCTCTGCCAGCTGAAGGACGGGGGTGGCAAAGGCGCCATCTCCCTGGGGAGCTGCCTAAGCAGTGCCACCCCAGGGCCCCTGCCCAGAGCCACTGTTCCTCTCGCCCTTAGATGAAGGATCTCCAGTATGACTGTGTCATCCACGACGCCTGGGCCGGCATGAGTCACGTGGTGCAGCTTCGGGCCCAGGAGGAGTTTCAGCAAGGATCGTGGAGCGAGTGGAGCCCCGAGGTCAAAGGCATCCCTTGGATAGGTACTGCGGAGGGTGCGGAGGGAGGGAGGGAGGGAGGTTTCAGCTTTGTTACTCTATCTATTGTCTATTGTGATGTGACAAGTCATCTCAAAACTAGTGGCTTAAAACGGCAGCCATGTATCTGCTGGAGATTCTGAAAATAAGTCAGCCAAGCAGCCCTTCTGCGGGGCTTGCCTGGATCTCTAACACAGCTGCCATCGGGTCTGGCTGGTCCTGATGGTGGTGCTGGCTGGTGGCCGGAAGCCTCGGTTCCCCCCGTGGCTTCTCGCCTTCTGGGGGGCCAGCCCAAGCTCAGGGCAGGCGATGTGGGGAATCGCTCCTCAATTGAATGGAGGAACTGTATAGCATTGTAGGTATATTTAATCTATGACTCTTTCTAATATTTTTGGTTTTAAAAAAGATGATAAAGGTAATAACAATTACCTTTTGAGGATGATGATGATTATTATTAAGAGACAGGGTCTCACTCTGTCACCCAGGCTGGAGTGCCATGATGTCATCATAGCTCACAGCAACCTCAAATTCCTGGGCTTAATCGATCCTCCTGCCTCAGCCTCCTGAGTAGCTGGGACTATAGGCATGCGCCACCATGCCCGGTTGTTTCTTGTGTTCCTATTGTAGAATGGCTTCCAGGCTCACATCAGGGTCAAATCTCTCTAGCCCTGTGTATGGCATAGTTGAACCAAATTAATCATTATTAAATACTTGGCAATTAAAAAAGAGAGTAAGATACCTATTTATTGAGTATGGCTAAAAAATGAAAAGGTGGAAGTGACATCAGTCTCATCCTTTTCTCTGCCACTTTCTCCCAGCCCGGGCCCCAGTCAGGGAGAAGACTTATTTAGAGGCTGCACATTCTTCCCCCAGATTGGATGGTGTGGTATGATGGCCCTTCCCCCTCCCTGGCTTTGTACTGTGGGGTCCTTGTCCCTTGTGTTTCCTGTCCTGGCGGGAGCCAGAGGAGTGGGCTTGGGCTTAGGGCGTCATCCTAGTTGGCTGCATGTGCTATCAAGTGCAGGCTCAGATCTTTGTTGGTATTTTCCCTGTTCATCAACAGCAGGAGACAGCTTTCTATTGTACCCTCTTCTCTAAAGCTTATTTTCTGCTAAGACTTGGACAAGAAGGTGGGGGCCAAACTACTATATCTTACTTGGGGAGACCATTTAAATAAATCAGTATATCCTTCAGGGTACAGTGTGGTGACCTCTCCACGGTTTTCTTTTATTTGTATATACTTTGAGCCCAAACATACTCATTATGTGAATGCTGAACATCAGTATCATCTTGGGTGCCTTTGTAAGGGGCAAAAAAAATCAGCTTTACCATTGTGTGGAGGATGTGTTCCAGATACGTGCTAACACTAGTTTTACCTTTTATCCCAGCCGCTTAGTTTTAGATAGCCATAAGCAACTTTTTTTTTTTATTTTATTTAATCTTTTTCTTACTGGCTCAGAGACTAAACAGGGCATGTCAGCCATAAGCAACTTTAAGAACTCCCATTATGGTCGGGCGCGGTGGCTCACGCCTGTAATCCTAGCGCTCTGGAAGGCCAAGGCGGGAGGATCACTCAAGGTCAGGAGTTCGAAATCGGCCTGAGCAAGAGTGAGACCCTGTCTCTACTAAAAATAGAAAGAAACTAATTGGCCAACTAAAAATATCTAGAAAAAAGCCAGGCATGGTGGCTCATGCCTGTAGTCCCAGCTACCTGGGAGGCTGAGGCAGCAGGATTGCTTGAGCCCAGGAGTTTGAGGTTGCTGTGAGCTAGGCTGACGCCACTGCACTCTAGCCTAGGCGACAGAGTGAGACTCTATAAAACCAAACCAAACCAAAAAAACTTCCCATTTTGTTAGAAGTTTCTTCTTTTAAAAATTTTAATTGTTGTAAAATATACATAACATTTACCATTTACACTATTTTTAAGTATAAATTTATGGGGCATTAAGCACATTCATATTGCTGTGCAACCATCACCACTTTCCTTCTTCAGAATTTTTTCATCTTGCAAAACTGAAACTCTGAATCTGTTAAACAATAACTCCCCATTCGCTCACCCCTTCCCCCGGGCCCTGGCAACTGCCATTCTATTCTTCGTGTCTGTAAGTTTGACTACTCTGGGTTCTTCAAATATGAGGAATCAGACAGTATTTGTCTTTTGGAGACTGGCTTGTTTCACTTAGCATAGTGTCTTTGTCAAGGTCCATTCATGTTTTAACACGTCAGAGTTTCCTCCCTTTTGTTTTTTTGGTTTTTTTTTTGGAGACCAAGTCTCACTCTGTCACTCGGGCTAAAGTGCAGTGGTGTCATCATAGCTCATTGCAACCTCAAATTCCTGGGCTTAAGTAAACCTCCTGCCTTAGTCTCCTGAGTAGCTGGGACTATAGACATGAACCACCATGCCTGGCTAATTTTTCTATTTTTTGTAGAGACAGCGTCTTGCTTCTTGCTCAAGCTGGTCTTGAACTCTTGGCCTGAAGCAGTCCTACTGCCTTGGCCTCCCAAAGTGCTAGGATTACAGGCATCAGCCACTGCATCTGGCCAGAATTTTCTCCCTTTTTAAGGCTGAGTAATATTCCATTGCACAGAGATATATCCATCAACGGACACTAGGGCTGCTTCTACCTTTTGGTTATTGTGAGTAATGCTGCTATGAGCATGGCTGTGCAAATATCTGTTCAAGTTCCTGTTTTCCGTTCTTTTGTGTATATACCGGAAGTGTAATTCTATTTTTAATGTTTTGAGGAATTGCCATACTGTTTTCCACAGTGGCTGTACTATTTTACATTCATACCAGAATGTACAAGGGTTCCAATGTCTCCATATCCTTGCCAACACTTATTATTTTCTGTTTTTGTTTCTTTTATATATATATATATATATATATATATATATATATATGTCTTTTTTTTGTTTGAGCCTGACTTTTTTTTTTTTTTTTTTTTTGAGACAGAGTCTCTCTCTGTTGCCCAGGCTAGAGTGCCGTGGTGTCAGCCTAGCTCACAGCAACCTCAAACTTCTGGGGGCTTAAGCAATCCTTCTGCTGCAGCCTCCCCAGTAGCTGGGACTATAGGCATGCGCCACCATGCCCAGCTAATTTTTTTTCTATGTATATTTAGTTGGCCAATTAATTTCTTTCTATTTTTAGTAGAGATGGGGGTCTCACTCTTGCTCAGGCTGGTTTCAAACTCCTGACCTTGAGCAATCCTCCTGCCTTGGCCTCCCAGAGTGTTGTTTCTTGATAATAGTCATCCATATGGATGTGAAGTGTTATCTCATTGTGGTTTTGATTTGCATTTCCCTCATGATCGATGATGTTGAGCATCTTTTCATGTGCTTATTGGCCATTTGCATATCTTCTTTGAAGAAATATCGATTCATGTAGAAAGTTCTTTCTTGTGTGAACCCAACTCTGGCCTCCTGGACCTTTGCTCTGTCTGCTGGGGTAACCCACGACACGTCTCCTGGTTTGTTCTCTGAATTCTTGTGGAGTTCCCGGAGGACCTGCATCTGCTTGGGCCCCTCGTCCCAGGCTGTTGTTTGGATGGTTTGTGGGTTTCTCACCTGTCTGGTCACCTTCCCCTGAATCTGGTCTCAACTGTGGATGTCCCTCTTTAAATTGCTGACGTCTTCCCTCTAGTGGAAGACGGCATAGTGGGGGCTCTCTGGCCAGCATGGGGTGCAGTCTTCCCTTTTCAGCCTTGGGTCACGGTGTTTCTGTGACCTGCTGGAGTGGCCACGTGAGCTCAGACAGAGCATTTGGCTTCTCTTCTCACAGAAGCAGCTAGAGAGTGAGCTCTCCATCCTATACGTGTGGTTCGGGGCAAGTCTTCAAAACCCCAGTGGTGAATATGACCAAGAAGGAAACCTGCTGCTCCCCTCTCTGCTGAGGGCAGAGCAAGGGGAACTGGGGAGGATTCTGATGCAAGAGGGATTTAGGTTGGAAATTGGGAAGCAGTTCTGGAAAATACGAGGGAGGTTAGAACACTAGGTGAGCTGTGTTTTACTGACAGTGGAGTTATCCGGCTGGTTGGGACATGCCAGTGCACTAGATACTGTACCAGTGGGCTTCCCGACCCCAAGGACCTTCAGTTTTCAAAGCCCAGAAAGAGTAGATGCCCCTGCTTCCCAGCATAGGTGTGGGGGTGGTGACCTCTGGGAGACAGAGGTCACGGGAAGCACATTGGACCTAGGAATCCGGTTGTGTGACATTGGTGAAGTTCCTTCACCTCCCAGAGCCTTAGTCTTGTCTTCTGTAAAGTAGGGATGATATGACCTGTCTTGTTGCCTTCGGCGAGTTTTTGTGGGTCTGATGACATGACAAAGCACACTGCGAATGTAAGGGGATTAGCAGTTACAGGGCAGTGTTGGTGTGGGGGATGAGGGGAGTGGGGCCATGGGAATCCCCGAATCGCTAGCCTGGATGCGGTCCTGGGCCCCCTGAGTCGGAATGTGGAGGGGGAAGTGGCGTGGGTAGTTTGAGAAAGCTTTCCCGTGATTTCAGTCGTGCTGCGGGGCCAGGGAGAGGAGCGCCCCATTGTAAGGTAGCAGGTAAGGCTGGAACAGACACTTCTGTCGGGCCGGTTTAGAGACCGCAGGAAAAGCTTCACGGAGGAGGTGACAACCAAGTTGTGTCTTGAAGGATGTGTAGGAGTGTCCCAGAGAGAAAATGGGGATCGTGGGCGGAGGGAACAGCAGGTGCAGAGGCATGGCGCTGTGTGAGGCGGGGTGATGCGGGCTGTGCAGTGAGGCTGGGGCACAGGTGTGTGCATGGGAGGTCCGAGTGGGGCAGGTGGAGGCCAGCCTCGGTGGGCCCCTGTAGGAGTGGGGTGGAGGCCGTGGAGAGGGTCTCTGGAGCCTGGACTTCTGCAGGTGCTGCCCCCTTGAGGCTGGGGCCTGGCCCGCACCGATACAGTGGCCCCAGCACAGCCTTCTCTTTGAAGGTGGGAGCCCAGAGTCACACCCTCCTGGGGCCCCTGCTTTGGCCAGCAAGGCCAGGTCACTGC